TGGCTGCGCAGAAATGATACTGGGGAAGATGATAGACAAGGTTTCCTCCGGCTTCCATAGAGAATGTACAGCAGTGCCAACTAATTCCTTATTTTACTAAACTATTGTTCAGGTTTCATGAACTCCCCCAATGACTTGATGAGATCTATGTAGGCCCCATCATAATCTGCTACTTATAGTGTAGTATAGTATCATTGCTATTGAACTTTCCAGCTCTTGACCAATTGTATTTGTATGGGAACCGGAATTGCCTCGCTAAATGTACCCATGGCTGGTATTTCCTGCTGTGGCAAAATACTGTAGTAGCAAGAATTACACGATTCCAGTACCCTGAATGGCCAAGAATCAGTTGGTTTGAAGTCCGTATGGAGTTGGTTTGGTGATGTGACTGGGTTAAAATCAACAATAGGTCTATGATCAGCAAAATAATTTCTAGATCACACAAATATAAATCAGAAGTTGCTAAGTCCATTGTGTAATTTTATTAGACTAAAATAAGAATTGAATTACAGATATGGTTGTTCATGGAAAATTACTGATTGGCAACTTTATATAATCACTTATAGAAACCATCATATGTGAGCTAGCCATCACATCTTTTTGTTTTTATTAAGGAGACTTTGACCTTGTCTTATAAGTAATTGGGCTGGATTCAAATCATTCACATCTTTATGTCAATCAATCATAACTCTGTACTGTAGAGAAAGGATGGAGTTTGTCAATTTGCATTCGATTGGAGGATTTTCAATTCTTTACAAAACAGTGCTAATTCTTTTTCTTCAAAACTGAACATAAACATTTGGGAGATTCATCTTCATCATTTAATCATGTTTTCAATTATAACATTCTTATTTACCATACAAGTTGATATCTTTAGTACTATTTGTAATACTTTGACAGAATTAGTTTACTTTTGTTGTTTACGATATTTGTACATATGTATATTTTGTACAGTTATAGTTAATGTCAAGCGTGTCAGCTTGATTTATTTGTATAAGCTTCTGGCACTGATGCTAGTGCTTTAGGAATTTATAGTATAACTAGATGAAAGCTTGTGAAGTCTATGTTTCACTAGCCACTGACTTCAATGGAGTGTTGGGTGGAGTTAAGTCTTTGTGTTTCCTGGAAAGCCCACATTTTTCTGAACATTTTGATATCAAATACTCATTTTGGCAAAATATGGAGTAACGTCTTTGTGTCACTGAACCCTGAACCATGTTTTTTTGTTTTGTTTTTTATATATGTAAAACTGCTAAAGAAAAAGAAAATCAAATCAAATCAAATTATTTACATATATTAACATTTCTTCATTGTGTATGTAATTTTGTTGAAGCGTTGAGCGATCTATGTTTGTTGATGCTGATTGATATGCCATAAAGCTGTAACACCTCGCTATGCAAAAAGAAAGATGATAATTCTCAAACATATTGCAGGGTACATGGGGGGGGGGGTAAGAAGTTCATTTGTATGAACGCAGAAAAATACAATAAACAGAATTGCAAAAATTTGAAATAAATCAGACCAATAATAAGGAAGTTAAGTCTATACAAATCTCAAATTGGCAGTTTGATAAGTGGATTGTGACATAGTTACATATAATTCTTCACTTTGTCACTTACAAAAATACATGTATCATTAATTTCTGTTTTCTGACCTGACTTGTGGCACTACGCAAAAGATATTATAGATCTCATAATATTATAGGTCCTCCAAAGAGAAAAGACCCTCCTGAGTCATACATTTTCGATGAGTTAAAAATCTATTCATTTTGTGTGTTGGAACAAATGTCCACCACTACATCATTGAGACGTCACTGATTCAGCCAATTTGAAAAGCTGATAGGCCTACCTATAGTGATTACAACTTTCAAACATTCATCAAGATGGGATTTCCCTTTAATTTTAGGCTTATACATGATTGGAAGGAATGTACCGTATGTTACACATAACTAAAACTTTCTGTTGGATTCTGTAGTCAGTTTTGAAATGACAGGAATAAAATTTTATTTCATATCCAATTTCATTGATATAAGTGCTAATTGTCAACGGTTTAAAAAATAATACATTAATCAACAACAGTACTATGTACATAATACATCTAAAGTGATAAATTACGTTTTTCAGAAATAAATATACAGTGCGTCCCAGAAAAAAACGAAATCGAGAATTATCGAGGTTTTATCATAACTTAATCACAATTATAATTAATAAATGACATACTTGTAAAGCTTAGATCCTTCTCTTTCAGCTGATGCAACTCATTATGATGCATATTTCACGCATAAGTGATTAAAAACAATTTGAAGAGAGGGTACCAAAAAGTAAATTTTACGGTGGTATTTGAATTTCAAAAAGAAAATCACATTTCTAGAAAGTTCATTTTCTGCCCGTTCATACGACACCTCAATCGAGAAAAATGAGCCAGAAAAATGAGCCAGGAATAACGGTAGTAAATGACATGTTAACGATGTGTGGTGTCTTGACACTTGACCAACTCTAAAAAAGGTTATTGGCGGCAGCCTGCAGGTAGCTAGTAGGTCCATGCTGGCACCAACCCTAATCCGCTAATGGTCAATAAGTGTCATAAAAACCCTGGACATTTGTTTACATGTGTCTACACCTGTCGTGTATATATCACTCTCAATGTTATATACAGAGAGCAGCCTGTTTGTAAGGCTGTCTAGATATTGAACCCCCAACAAAGTAAAGACATACTTTTCGGCTTTCACATCTCTCTCAAACTATAGCATTACTTTGCAAAGTGTGGCTTGAATGCCCGCCCCCCCCCCCCCACCTCAGTGTTATGGTACGCATATGCGTGTTCCCAGCGACCCCACCCCCCCCCCCCTTTCAGCAAAAGTCCGGTGTGTATATATAAAGCCAATACGGCCGGGTCGACCTTTTTCTTTTGTTATACGAGCCTTTAATCAGCACCCCCCCCCCCCCCCCCCCCCTCTTTTCAGCAAAAGTCTGGTGTGTAAAGTAAATACGGGTAGACCTTTTTCTTTTGTTACGAGCCGGAGAGTTTGGGAACACGCATGGTATCCCGTCGTTCACGGAGTGGGGGGGGGGTGGGGGGCTTGAATGCTGTCACATGAGTGAGATTACTACAATAGCTATTATATAGTCAGCTTTATTAATGACTGTTGTTTCTTTTATGCTATCATGACAGATCTAGAGTAGTCACCCTCAATGCTGTGTTACTTTTCTTTGATCACACTATATTGATCATTTTGTTGTTTTGTTTTGTATTCATAAACTTGTGTCTCTTAATTTGCTAGTTTTGTAACATTCTATTAATAAAATAATATTTGTTCAGTTGAAAGGTAAAAGCAATTGCCTACATGCAGACTTTCCCTTTATTACTTTACAGCTAGCTTCTCGTAGAACTTTGTAAGGCAATTAGCTAATTCCGCAGTCGTAATGATTATATTTCAAACACGTCCTGTACACAAAGTTCACATATAGGCATTGATCTTCTTTTTGGGGGTCATTGTATTCATTGATTTTATTTCTCAAACTCCAACTCTTTTTCGTACATAACATAGTTTATACAAATCTGCAACATAATTATAACAAAGCTTTTTAAAATCGTTTGATAAACGAACACCATGAATATATACAACCAGGGAGGTGAAAGTATCACCTGAACATAATTCATTGTTCATTCATTTCACAATGTATAGAACTGACATATATCACAATCACAATAGGAAGATATTACCGCACTACACAGTTATTTCATCCCCAAAACTAACTAGTGGGCACTAATTTTTTGTTTGCCCTCGAAAATTTGAAAAATTGCACCCCCCGGGCCCCTTGAGCGCCAGGGGAGGGGTCCCATCTCCCAAAAAAGGTAAAATTAATGTGTTTTTACACGTCCCCCCCCCCCCTGGATCCGCCACTGCTGCACAACACCAGTGCATTTTGCAACTGTTCACTTTTGACCTTGGCCTTCTGACGTACTGCTCACTCCATGGCTGCAATATCATAACAAATGTGGTATCATTTCAAAGAGGATGCACTTTCTAATGATAAAAATCAAAGCGATGATTATGACATATTAAGAGATTTAATCGATCCAACTTGAGTTTTTGTTTTGTTTCGGTTGTTAATTTTTATTTTCTTTTTCTTTTGTTATTCTTAAAAGGTTTTCTTAAACAAAGTTATAATCCAAAATAAGCTTGTAGTGATATTGTATGTAATACTAAAATCTGGAGTCGTCAATGTTTATGTAATGATGTATTTTTGACACTGGTGTACTGATAGGGGGGCTTGGAGGCAGCTGCCCCCCCCCAAATGGAATTCAAACGTGGATTATTTCTAATTTGATACAAGTGATTTAAAAATGTTGATGAAATGACATAATTTTCCAGGTTTTTTCACATTTTATAGATTATACTTTTTAATTCGTTTGTTGGAAAATGACGAATTTCAAAATTTTTTAGTCAGGCCAAAAACCCTAAACTTGCTAAAGTGCCCCCTTTTACTTCAGATGAGCGACCCTTTTTAATTTCAAGTCGGGTGCCCATTCCATATAAGTGCCTTTTATCATGACCAACTGACTTATTATAGTGCCCCTTTACAGCTGCTAATTGCCCTAGTCTGAGAGCCCCCTTTAAAATCTTTGATGAGTGCCGCGCTTCTCGCCTCTAATAATTGCTCCCTTTATTTTGACACGTGCACCCCCATTTTTTTCTAATAAGGGCCCTTATTAGAATAGCCTGTTGATGCTTTTTAATATTTTAAAAAGAGTAGAGTGCAGATAGAGACCCGCGGATAATCCCGCCTAATTCAATGTTATCTGAAAATCTTTCCTGATCCCCCTTTTCAAAGATGCACCAGTTTATTGACGACGCCGGTTCAAATTTAATTTCTGGGCACAAAACTTGGAAAACTAATTATTGCGGTCTATAATCATGCATCCTTTGTCAATCAAAATTCAAAGACGAGTTCTTTGAGATAAGAAAACGCACGTACGGGCTATTTTGGTGACGTCATCACTCGGCGGTGAATTTTAAAATCTCAGTACAATCACGTGCGACGTGAACGTAAGTTAACGAAGGATTTTCCACTTAAATGTCGAATTAAGAGGTAGTTTTTCGGTGACAACGCGGAACAACGCTAATTACGTAACGGCAAGGTTTTATGGCGTAAGTATGTCCTAATATTTATCACATTTTCTTGCAGGTTAGAATATTTAGTGATACTAGCTTAGCAAGTGAGTGCGAGTGATTGTTTGTTTTTGTTTTGAGTTGGTTTGGGCGCCAGCTCGCACCCCTGCCCGAGCTGAGCGGTGGCGTGATCTGAAGCACTGCATGGCAGCAGAGTGCAGATGCATGCCTGGTCTTGAGCCTCGGGGGTAATGCCAGGAACTCTGGACGCATGTCCGCGGGGTTTTGAGATGGATTAAGTCGGGGCGGAAGCCATATCATATGTTCCATGTGTTGACTAAGAAGTAGACTATAGACTAGCTAGATCTAGACCTATCTAGAATAGATTATAATTAGTCTGATCATTTTGAATAATTGTGGGAATGTGGTCTGACCGTCAGATACTCTCTCTAAGTCTAGGGAGCTTCGACTCGGCTCCGATGCTGGCATCGGAGCTGCCTGGAGTTAACTGTCAGAGAGTTATGATTCTTGAAAAAATTATTAAAGATCAAGTGTGCCAGAAGAACAACAGAAGTCGCTCTGATGTGACTTTAGCTTTTACTTTTTTTTTTTTACTTGGCTATACTATAGATCTAGACTTAACTTGTCTTTTTGAATCATTGATTGATTGATTTATTGTGTTCACCAATTCATTGTTTTTTAAAAAAAATAATTCTTAGCCTAATTAAGGCAGCTATGTACTGCATATGTGAAACTTGTATAAGAATTTAAAATATGGCAAGATTTGAAAATAAAACAAAACTTTCAAGTGAAAAAACCCTAGATAGACTCTATTTGATAGTTTTAGCCGGACTACTTTCAAGGTGATAAAAGATATGAATTTCCAAATGGATTTCAGCTAACCTGCACTTCTAGTGGTTTGCTGTTGTTGTTGTTTTAGTTTATAGACGTTTGTAATTCAGAAGTGAATATTTACGCCTCTTCTCTTAGGATTTGTTTTCCTTTAAAATTACATGAAACGATGCATAGGCACATGTCAAGCCTTCAAAACTTTTTGTTCAATTCTTTAACCCAGAATCTCTTGATTGCATTTCTGTGACATCTACAGGTCAACATGTCTGACGAGGATCAATCTCATCTTTCTTCATCATACATCTTACTGGACTGGACAACATGCAGTGCTTCAGATTCATCTGTAGTATGTATAGACACAAGCTTTGACCAGAAGTCCAAATCTCCCACCAAGTGTTTAATTGAACAAAGGTCTCCAACATCTTGCATCATCATTCCTGATTCAGAGGAGTCAGAGGATGATATCATTCAGATTGTCAGTACTAGTATTCATGAGCAGAAGAAGGAGGGATCAACTAGTGTTGTGACCACAGCATCAAATCAGGATGACTGTAAATCAGACTGTGATGCTGAGCTTAAAGAACTGAGCCTAGAAGGAGAGGTGACGCTACCCTGTACACCCTCAGAACGCAACAGTAAGCGGAGGAGAATAGGTAGTTATCAACCTGATGACTGTCCATGTCCATGTGAGTTTAAAAACCAAATATTTCCCCCTTGGCCCCTTTCCTCCTGCACCCAGATGATTATACCACATGCAGTTATGCACTATTACAAAATTAGCTTTATTAGGTTAATTACCACCAAAACATTGAGCCATAATGTTTGTCCTACCTAGTAACAACTTATTCTGACTATTGAGATACATTGTTTTGTAACAATAAAATGAAATGAATGAAATAATTTGTATCTTCACATAAATTGGTTACATTACAAAAAACAGCTATTCCACTCTTCTTTAGATTGTGTAAAAGGGCAATGAAATCTCATTCCATACATAACATGACATGTATTTCAATGGATTGTGTGCAGGTGATGAGCAACTCACCAGCACTCCTCTGGCAGGTTCTGCCATAGCACCTAAGAAGCCTAGTGAGCCCACAGTGACACCTATCACTGTAAGGTATGAAAGGATAAGGGCTGAGCTCAGTGCAACTAAGAAAGAAACGAAGAAACTCATTACAGGACAAGAGGTATGTATGTTCCATCTTTCTTCACATTAATAAAAGAAACCTTGCCCCAAGAAATAATTTAAGTTATTCTGAAAGATTTATTGTATTGTAGCCCGTTAAAGGCATCTTTTAACAATGTTAAACTTAATTCTGAGATACATGGCCCTAGGTTTTATCAGTGTCTGTGATATGGTGTAATATTGAAGCCCTACAAAATTTGCGCTTCAAAATGATCATGAAGTGCCTCAAAAAAGTAAAAAATCTTTCCAATTTTGAGTGTCCTAGGTTCACATTGTAGCCATTGTACAGGTCATTGGGTATCTCCCAAGTTGTACATTTTACTCTGACATTACTATTTTCTTCAAAATGACGACTCCCATGAAATGATGTCTAGGAAGGAATATGCAACATTTTGAGAGAATGCTCTCTTTATTAGTAAGCAAACAGGGAAGAGGTATCAAAGCTTGAAGTCTGAATTAAAAGGGTGGTTGGTAGATGCTATAAATAATCCAAGATTTTCTTAAAGGGCTTCCAGTTTTACAGTTTTATTGGCTATTGTTTGTTGGGGTTCATTTTCCTTTGAAAACTTATCATTTCAGATTTTAATTCTGGTACATACATTACAGTTATACAGTGTGAGTCCAAAAAAGTTTACACCTAGAAAATTGCTAATTATTTTATAAATCATGCCAAGAATATAAATCATCTATGAACAGTAAATTATTTTTGTGTGGTATGTGTTCACGCTTGGATGAACAGGAGGCATTGTTTGCGAGAGTACAAAAATGAGAGAATGAATTGAATGTATCAAATGAGATGCATTGCATACGCTTTTTGCAGAAGCAAAGTCACGCACACACACATGTGTGGCATGATCAATTTTGTTAGGGATGTCATTTGGATCTGCAATGACCAAATTAATACCCAAATACCAATTGTTTTATTCAAACATCACATAAGCAACTTTGGCGCAAGTCGATTTTTGTACTCTTGCAAACAATGCTTCCTGTTCATTCAAGCGTGAACACATACCACACAAAAATGATACCAAATGATTCGGGATAAAACGCTCTTTCATAAGATGTTTAATAATGTACTGTACATAGGTGATTTTTTAAATAATTAGCAATTTTCTGGGTGTAAATTTTGTATGACCCACACGGTATCATAGGAGCAATTTTAAAGGCAGGTGATCATATTGTTCATTGTGGTTCACTTATGAAGTGATACATTGACAATTACAGGAGCTGCAGGAGGAGATGCAAAGGTTCCGGGAAGAGATGACAAACAAGAGGAAGAGAGAGGAAGAGGAAGAAAAGAAAGCAGCATCTGTCCCTGTTAATGTGAAGACAGACCAGTGTGATAGCATGCTAAGACCTGTAGTCATCGATGGCAGCAATGTAGCAATGAGGTATGGGTCAATGTGAAGACAGACCAGTGTGATAGCATGCTAAGACCTGTAGTCATCGATGGTAGCAATGTAGCAATGAGGTATGGGTTATTGTGAAGACAGACCAGTGTGATAGCATGCTAAGACCTGTAGTCATCGATGGTAGCAATGTAGCAATGAGGTATGGGTTAATGTGAAGACAGACCAGTGTGATAGCATGCTAAGACCTGTAGTCATCGATGGCAGCAATGTAGCAATGAGGTATGGGTTAATGTGAAATCAGACCAGTGTGATAGCATGCTAAGACCTGTAGTCATCGATGGCAGCAATGTAGCAATGAGGTATGGGTTATTGTGAAGACAGACCAGTGTGATAGCATGCTAAGACCTGTAGTCATCGATGGTAGCAATGTAGCAATGAGGTATGGGTTAATGTGAAATCAGACCAGTGTGATAGCATGCTAAGACCTGTAGTCATCGATGGCAGCAATGTAGCAATGAGGTATGGAATATTCCTCAAACTAGATTCTACAGCACTGATGAAGATCATACTTTTGTGCCATATTCCCATATATTACATTATATACCATGTGCCAAGATTCTTGGCCTCTGATTCATCAAAACTGCAGGGATGAAATTCACTGCTGGCTGCTTGGCAGTATAGTGAAAAAAATATTGACTAGGCATAGTTGTGATCGCAAGACTGCACTATGCCCTTTGACTTTGTCTCAGGTTCCAGTACAGTTTCAAGATCACCTTGGGCAATAGTTTTAACTGTACCCCTCAAAGCAGTCAATATTTGTACAGTCTAACCTGCTTAAGTGACCACCTTTCTACAACAAGCACATTTTTGGTTTTCCTTGAAAATGGTTTCTCATTGAAACATGTAATAAAGGAACCTGTCTGTAAAGACCAACTGTCTACAACAAGCACATTTTTGGTTTCCCTTGGGCGGTCGCTGTAGACAGGTTTGACTGTATAATATATCTCTGGTCTTTACTTTCTCTTCCCCCCCCCTTTCTCTCTCTCTCTCTCTCTCTCTCCCTCTCTCCAATCACTCTGTTTGGAACTGTCATCTATTTTACCATAGTATTTCCACAGAAGAAAAAGTGTATCCAGGGTTCTTGCTACCGGAACTTGTCTAACGATAGGAAAAGATGAGAATACAATTTTCTCTTTCTCCTTGTCTGTTTGTTTGTACGTCTCTTTCCTTCTCTGTCATGCAGCCATGGTAACCAGAAGATCTTCTCCTGCAAGGGTATCGCGCTCTGCATCCAATTCTTCCAGCAGAGAGGTCACACCAACATCTCCGCCCTGGTTCCCCTGCACCGGAAGACGGCCGATGCGGCCCGGTCCTGCCCCATCAGGGATGCCCACATCCTGGATGAACTGGAGTCCAAAGGTCTCCTCTCATACACCCCATCCAGGACCCTGAATGGACGAAGGCTCACACCCTATGATGACAGGTAGGCCACAGACAGTCACACATTATCTGCTTGGAGCCAGAAGGGCGTTTCACTTGTATACTATAACACAGAGTGAAGGTCCTTTTGGATCCAAACAGATGACATGCTCTAACTTTCATTACTGAGAGCTAGTTCAAGGTGATTTGTGGAGTAGGTTACCAATGCCACCAAAGTTCTTAGGAAACTCAATGATTCTATCCTCAAGTTGACAGCCTTCTAGAGTTTGGATTAGACTTAAGAACAGAGGAAATAACACTCATGATATACATTTCTGTTAAATTTTCTTAATCTTAGTCACAAATGAGTCGGCAAATGACCAAATACTTTGGACTTGCCCAGGCAACGATAATATGACTTTTGCTCAGAGGTCAATGTTTTAAGGGCAATCAAACCTTTCTGTTATGAATGGCAAATTGGTTAGTAGATTGTAGTCATAGAAAACGTATCTGTATGTCATGTACAAGAATATGATTACTGTCTTTTTTCCTCCCAAGTACCTCTTCCCTTGGAGCACTACTGATAATTTATTATGGATAGCATGTTGTAATAGGTCCTCAGAAATTGAAACACCCTCCAGAGTTCTACACTTTAAAAAATTGACATTCTAGTCATTTTGTTTGTTGAAACAAATGGAAAAGGTGTTTGGCATTACGTCACAGTGACATTGAAGATTTAGCCAATTTGAAGTGCCCATAGTATAATGATTACACCTTTAAAAAATTCATAACTTTCTTAGTTGTAGATGCTGCATAAGCATACTGTATTTCTTAGATTTGCCTGTTTATTTTTCATACTTTCACCAGACTGCTTCTCAAATTTCTTCTGCTTTGTTTTTTTATAGAGTATTTGTTTAAGTTTGGATTTCCTTTAACCATAGTCAGACTCATCACTTTAATCCTTGACTCAAAATGTATGCCAAGTTTGGACACCCCGTCATTTATTTGCTGCGTGGTCCATTTTCAACCCTAGTGAAATACAAACTTCAACTCTAGACCAAAACCCACCTAACCCCATTCTCTAACAACATAAAGCATGGATAAAATGTCAGATCACTAATTCAATTATCGCAAGCAGCCTTCCATTTCACTTTTCTGTTTTTGTACAAAGAAAACATTTTCATCATTGTTTCACTCAAAATATCTTATCTTAAAGTGACTTGATAACATTGCCTCAGATTCTGAAATATAATTCTGGAGTTAGCTCATGCTGCAATCATAATTATAAACCTTTAGGTCAGTCAGGAATCCCATGACTTTTACAAGCCGATCGCCTGTCTGATTATCAAGAACTTTATGATTAGAAATTGAAATCAAATTTTGCGCTTTCCTAATGGTTTTCATTACAGTACAGTCCATGGGGAAAAAGGAACATGGTAAAACCTGTCACTCAAAGATTTTTACTTTTTTGAGGCACTTCATGATCGTTTTAAAGTGCAATTTTTTTAGGGCTTCAATATTACACCATATCACAGATTAAACCTTGTTAAACCATCCCTTTAATGGAAATATGCTTCTACACATATACCTTTAATGAAAGTGATCTCAAACAACCATCACCAAGCGAAGCGGTCATGTATATTTGAAGAGAGGAGTTCTTTTTATCGAAAGTTCATAATTCCGAAGGATTGTTATACCAAAGGCTCATCACTCCAAATGTTTTGTAGTTCTGAAAATGAAATAGGGTTCATAAATCCAAAGGTTCGTGTACAGATGTTATTTTGAAATTGATACAAAACCCTGTATTGCTTTTTCAGATTAGCGACCCTGTAGAATAGCGAACCATATTTCATATGTGGAATTATGAACCATACTTCATTTTTCTTCTCAGAATTATGAACCTTCAGCTAAACACACCTTCTGCATAAGGCAACAAATATTCAGAATAAAGAACCCCATGGTATGGAAAATTGGCCTTTGTCTTTCAGTATTACAAATCTTTGGAAAAATGAGTGCCTTCCAAATATTTGAAGGGTGGATTTCCCCTTTATCTTAAATATTACGATGCCTTTGGATTTTTACCTTTGTTCGCTTTTTTTGTTGCTATATGATATCCAACAGGATGATGCTCCAGTTAGCGTGCAGGAATGGTGGAGTGATTGTGAGTAACGATAACTACCGGGATCTCATGGGAGAGTCTGCACAATTCAAGTGTGTCATCGAAAACAGGTAATGTATACCTACCAACCCTTACGAATAATCCAGAATATTCTGTTTTTCTGGATTTTTAGGACCCCAAAATCTGTAATATTCTGTTTTTTTCAAAATTTCGATTTTTTTTTTTTTCCCCCCCCCCCTTCCTTGTTTTATCAGGTGCCGCGATGTGAGAGTTTCGTATTACGTGCGTTGAAGGGCTGCATGATTGAGCAGCAAATTTGTATTAGCTTTTTTGTACAGATTTAACGCGTATTGCCAGTTAACACTGCCGCTGCATGTGCGAACGCCTGTTAAGGGTACAGATTTCTTATTTTCGAAGGCATACCGTGCTAAAAATTCCTAATTCTCATTTTCAAATGTTGGCAGGTATGGTAATGTCAGAGCCATTGATTAGGAGAGTTTGGCCAAACCGGCTCTAGTTGGGCACAATGTGGCAAATACTGCTATGTGGGGCAAGCACAAAACGGAAGAATATGTGGCATGTTGTGACCAAGTAAAACCTAGGTGGCCAAACTTTGTGTATAGATGAATTTGGGTAATTTAGGTCCAATTATAGTCTACCATCATAAACCCTCTATGAGAAGGTTTGGTTCTGATAACGGTGAAAATAAATTGGTTGTGAGCATTCCTTCAAATTTTAGTTTCATGTGAAAGAACTTGCATTTGAACTATTGTGTTGTCTGGTAAGCCTCAAAAAAAAAGTTTCTTTTAAGTTAGATGCGCACGGACCAACAGAAGAACAGCCTTTGGCTGAAGTTGGTGCCGTGCAAAAATAAAATAAACTGAACTGAACTGAGATGCTTAAGTTCACAGGATCATTAGTCAATGAACATACATAAATAGGGAGGAATATAAGTGATGCAGTTGCGTTCATCTTGTGTTTTTTTGTTTATTTTAGCTTTGATAAGTACTATTTTTCATTTAGATGTAAATAGTATGTGTATTGTGAAAATTAAAAGATAATTTTCATGCATTTCGTTATACATTTCATTCATTATATCATATTCTGTTCTTTCAGGTTGATCATGTTTACATTTGTTGGAGATAACTTCATGGTACCTGAAGACCCCCATGGCCGCTATGGACCATTGCTGAGTGAAGTTCTCAGAAGGTCAGTAAAAGGATCACACCCCCCTCCCCCCAGCCTTAAAGGACATGGAGGACAAATAAAACTGACAATTAGTTTTATTATGATTTTACAGAGATAATTTAGTGAATTGAATTACAAATCTCTAAGTAATGGGTGCTTGAATTTGATTTTGTGTAAATTATGAGCAAAGATTTAAAATGTATCTGCTGATGTCTGTACAATTTATAAACTGTGCAGTAAAAAATTGCTGAAGTTCAGTCCACCATAAGAAGGTTGCAGTTTTTTCTGTAGATTTCATAAGATCTGTCAAGAAGGGAAGTTTGCTGATGCCCTGATGATTATAAATAAATAATTTTTTTAAGAGATTGAGGGAGATTGTCGAATATAAACCTAACATATATTCAATTTAAGAGTCTCCAAGTTAATTGAAGCCATCATCGATATCCACAATATTCAAATATTGTTATCATTTAAGATAAAAACTTAAGTTCTGATAACAAACAACCTGTAATCACCACTACCATCATCGTATATGTCCATCACCATCACCCGTACTCACCATCCTTCAGCCTACTAATCTTATCACTACCACCGTCTTCCCTATTACCCCCCTCCCCATCCCCCTCCCACTGTTCCATCGCACATGTGGCAAAGAATGTTAAAGTTCAGTGATTTGATCGTGGTATTGTCTATATGTGCCTTTCTTCCTTAGGGCAGAGAAAGCCCCCCTGCGATCAATGGTCAACAGCGCCCTCTACAACAGAAGGGCACCACTCGAGCAGTTGAAACACCAATGGCAGCATAGATTCTATTAAAAGGATTGGAGTTGCCTCTATCTTGCCATTCTGTAACGGCTCTGTTGTCAAATCAGAGTTGTGACTTTTTACAGAATACCCATACATGCGTAGAAGAGTCTAGTTGCTCAATGGCAGCACAAACTCTGATGACATGGACATTGGTGTTATACAGGGGGTTCCAGAAGAAGTGCCAAAGAAATGTACAAACAAAAGGTTAATTTGAAGAAACTATGAGCTGTGTAAAATCAAATCTTGCTTTTCCTATAGTACAAGTGATACTAATGTTTTCATTGTTACACCAAAGTCTGGCAGAAATGAAATTTTATAGTATTAATGACTGCTTTGAGAGAAATAGTTGTTTTATTACGCTCAAGGGAAGGTTAGAATTGTGCTATTCCCCGAGGCTTGCCGAGGGGAATAGCCCAATTGTAACCTTCCCGAGAGCGTATGAAAACAACTATTTCTCGAATATTAAAGCAGTCATTAATACTTTTATATGCCGAAAAAAAATAGACTAAAAAATAAAAAATAAAAAATAATTTTTTTTTTGTCGAAGGTGAGAGTCGAACTCTCGCGTACAATGAGTGATGAATCTTACACCAACGCCTTACACCACTCGGCCATCGCGCGCTGTTCACGAGCTTGGCACTTTTGTACAATATATACATTAAAGTGGATTGAAACCGGCTTCGGCGTGATGAATGCTTCGCAAAAGCACCCTTCTTTTACTTTTGCAATGCATATTGGCACGAACTTAGATCAAGATCTATCGGCAGATGTTGTTTTTTTTGTTTTTGGAAGTTTATTTTCGTCTTCATGTCAACAATGCAAGATAAAATTGTCGGTAAGATCGATCGAGATTCAATTGTATTGAAATTACCGACCAATCCTTCGCACACATACGGTATCCTCGATCGCTCAAACCATTTTTTAACATGTAAACCTATGGGGTAACCATGGAGGCTGACCTATTTTTTTAATAACCATGGTTATTAAAAATAGTAAATGTTTTATGCATGGTTACCGGGAATTTTACAGGAACAGTTGAAGTTTATGAATGCAATTCGACCAATCAGATGGCTGGATTTCTTAAGTGAGGTATATAAAATACGCTATTTTCAAAACCTGATGAAGCATGTAATCGAAATTACATGTTATATGTGTTCACAGAAAGCATGTTTTTTATTGACAAAATAATGTACGTAGTACGTGCAGTTGATAGCTGGTTTCATGAGCAGTTGAATTGGGATGTGTTTTTTTTGTCCATGGCTATTATTATATTTAATGATAAAAGGAGCTTATTATGCATATGTAATACTATATAGATTAGGGTTTTTTTCAGTAGTATAGCAAGAAATTATATTATCATTTGACAGGATGTTACATGTTACATGTATGTTCACAGTAGGCATGTTTTTTCTTGACACAATACTCTATGTAGTACGTCCAGTTTGAAAGCTGGTTTCATGAGCAGTTGAATTGGGATGTGTGTGTTTTCCATAAAATTATTATAAAAAGGATCTTATTATGTAATACTTGATTGGGTTTTTTTCAGTAGTATAGCAAGAAATTATATTATCATTTGACAGGATGTTACATGTGTGTTCACAGTAGGCATGTTTTTTCTTGACACAATACTCTATGTAGTACGTCCAGTTTGAAAGCTGGTTTCATGAGCAGTTGAATTGGGATGTGTGTGTTTTCCATGAAATTATTATAAAAAGGATCTTATTATGTAATACTTGATTGTTTTTTTTTTCAGTAGTATAGCAAGAGATGATATTATCATTTGACAGGATATTACATGTGTGTTCATAGAAAGCATGTTTTTATTGACACAGTATTGTATGTAATACGTGCAGTTTGATAGCTGGTTTCATGAGCAGTTGAATTGGGATGTTTTTTTTCCATGACTATTATAGAAAAGGATCTTATTATGTAATACTTGATTACTTTTTTTTCAGTAGTATAGCAAGAAATGATTTTATCATTTGACAGGATGTTATATATTTGATGTTATGGTTGTTCACAATAAACATGTTTTTATGTGACACAATACTGTATGTGGTTTGAAAGCTGGTTTCATGGGTAGTTGGATTGGGATTTATGTATTTTCCACAACTATTATTACATTTAATAAAAGAAGCATTCTCTGCATATGTAAAATTCAATGTTTTAATTTTTTTTTCTTCAGGATTATAGCAAGAGATTATCTTTGTTTTGTATCTGCAATTGTTGGGGATTAGATTGAATATTGGTATAATATGTGGGTAATCGCAAAATATTTACTGTTGTATTAAAGGGTACTGACTGATAGTAAGTTGGTTATAATGAAAGCAGAACATGTGAGAAACAAATAAGTGAAAGAATGAATTCAAATATGATATATGGGGTGATATTTCGAATGCAATGTAAGGTGTATGAATTCTCCCCCCCCCCCCCAGTATTTTTCTTCTAAGTACTGTAACTACTGTATAAGATTATTAATTTTTTTAATTTTTTTTAATTTTTTTTTTTTTTTTGGGGGGGGGGGAGGGAGATCCTGATCCATAAGCAAGAAGTTGTAAAACATAATTAGTCAATAAGAAGATACAGAATCATATTTTCAGCGGCATATATTTATTATTTCTCAATCGCAACACAAATACCATGTAAGAAAATCAGAAATAAAAAAGGGGAATTATTCTCGTAATAAAAAAATATTTTGTAAATTGATTTTAAAGAGGTCTATTTTACAAAGTAATTTTCAAAATGAAAGTTATACACATAGTTTTTGTGTATATTAAACAAATACAGTAATAACATAAAGGTAGTAAGTAGATACATGTATACATATACATATTTGGTTAGTGATGACTTTGGTCACAAAATTTGGGTTTATGTCAATGTACTTTAAATGTCTTGGACTTGCAACGAAATGCTGTCATGGTAATAAAATTTGTCTTGATATTTATAGGAATTGAGTGCCTAGCACAGTCGTCATTTTGTTTAAATATTGTAATTACACACAATGATACGAACATGAGATTAATTAACATGATACAAAATATATGAATACTGTACATCCAACCCCTATCTAGCTAGTGCGAACATGATCCAGTTTAAATAGTTTGTTTTCCTCTCTGGCTTATACCCTGGCTTATTCACAAAACCCTACTAAGCTAGCTAGTCGTCAACTAATAACATAGTTAAACAAGTAGACTTAGTAAGCTTTTATGAATAGGCCCAAGATTACTGAATTTACTGTCTCTCTTTTACTGTCATTAGAGCCTAAGAAAATCTGATACAGATTTCAGAGCTGTACATTCAAATCAGGAAGCATAATGAAATCTGGAATCTTCTTTCTACTAAAGCATACATAATGTTGATGACACAGAAGACATGAATAAGTCTTTCCTTATTCTCAGTTCCAAGAAATAAGTAGGGTTATAACAATAGTAGTTCCTAAACTTTCTTCCAATGAACATAGAATTTTAATGTTTTGAAAACTTGCTGGGGATTTGTAACTACACTGCTGAATGATGAATTATCATGATTAAATTAGGTATAAAAAAGGCCCGTTTAATCAACATTACAATGATGCTGCATTTGCAATTATTTATTCATGAAATGTGCAGTACACCTGAATATAGAGCCAAGTCAAAGTGAAATGTAAAATGTGATGTTATTTAACAATGAATTTAAAATCACTTTTGAAGGATGGATTATGTCTTCATGATTGTGAAGCGTGAATTCCATTTGTGCCGTTTTCAACTTGTTTGAAAAATCAATTGTGTTATAGTTTTATACAGCTATAGCTTCCCATTACAATAAATCATTTTTGGCACATTTAATGCCAAATAAGTGAAAGTAAGCACTGCCAAAGTCAACATAATTTAAAACACATGGGGAATTCAATGCATTTTGCAACATTTCACTAGGTCCAATATTAAGATATACTACATATTTCATGATTATATAATTTTTACAAATGGGGCATCATTGTAAGTATAAAAAAAAACAAAAGATACTGAAACTCGATCTTGAACTATTTTGGGTTTACACATATACAAGAGGACCACCTACCCCCCCCCCCCCCAACAGCAATATACGCCTGTTCCCCCTATCAAAGTCAGATCTGCACAATCGGCTCTCAACATGATCAGACAGCTGGAAAATAATCCAGATTCCTCTTGCCTTGGCTTACAGGAATCTCTTCAAAAGACACATGTAATATAATGCCTGCTTTCTTCTTCTTGTGTTATGTTGCTATGGAGATGAGATGTTGTCTTTGAGATGCAGGTGAGACATCGGACTGCTCGGTGTCAATACGTGTCTTCAGCTCATCATACACAATAAAGGGTCTTTCAAGCCACAGCCTCGGCTACAGTGTATCAGCAGATAGATGGGTGGTGACCAAGGACTGTTTACATGAGAACGCAAGTAATAGAGAGGCATGGTCCATAGCCGTACAATCCACTCCACATGATGATGGCTTCTTGTACAGCGTAGGTATCCATCCGCCTCTGCTGGGCGCTCGTAGTTGAGACCAAACACCACACAGTCAGGCCCACATGTAATATCATATCCTCTGTACGCAACATGAGGCTATTACTTGGTGAATGACCAAGTCCAAATATACTCTAGAGTCAATCCCATTGAAGATGGCGCATATAATAGGAAAATAAAACAAATCTTCAATGGTTTCAATGCATGTTAGAGCTTAAACGTTGGATCTTTGTGATCACATTTCTTCACTTCATCTCCCCCACTCCAAATATCATTGATATATGTGATGATAACTACATGTATGTGTAGATTACAGTCCCTTGATGCTCTGCAACCTATCCACATGAAAAGGTGGATTCAATCAAGATTTGCATTTTTCCACTGATCGCATCTCGTCTGGCCCGATTACGATCTGCCAGAAGGCCGAGAGCTCCAAGATGGTAATTTAAGTACAGTGCCAATACAGAAATCTGCCATCGCTTCATCGCTTTCCAAATTAGATGAGCACTCTGGAGAGTTTAAGTTCAAGGGTTCATGCTCAACAGTTTGTGATGATGATGATGATGTTGCTTGAAGACTGCATCTTAGGGTCTCGGAAGTCGACTCTGGCTGTTGCTGGCCGTTTTCTTTAGCCTCCTCTTCTCCACTCGTTGCCTAGGATTTACACAAACAAAAAAGGGTGATGAGATGTTGAACTTGTACATCTGATTGTCTCGAACACAGAAACAATTAATAGCCAAGGGACCAAAGAAAACTGTACACATCATCTATTGTTCATATAGGCAATGGCTAATGATGTAACATGGATGATTAATGAAATGAA